CACACACACACACACACACACACTCACACACACACACACACACACACACACACACACAGAGGAAGCTGTGGATTGATTCTGGGTTTTGCTCTCAGGGCTAAAGGTTATTGCTGGGGATTATCTTCTCTAATGTCATTACAGCCCTCCATCCCGAGACACAGAGAGCATCACGCTACACATACATCACCGCACACGTGTGTGTGTGTGTGTCGCTCTCAGCAGTCACAGGTACAGTTGTTTTTAATCAGTGAGACACTGGAGCTGGTGTCATATAGTGAATATAGTGCTGTCTGAGGGGAGTTTGACACAGCGAGTGACTGTATTCACTATAAAACACAAACTCTAGCAGTGCGTAAAGATTACAAATATAGACAAATGTTGATGAAAACATGGTTTTTGGGAATTGTTTATGAACTTTAAGAGTGTGTGTTTCTGTTTTAGAAACAGATTTCTAGAGGCTGAGTGAGTGTGAGTGTGTGTGTGTGTGTGTGTGTGAGAGTGCGTGCGAGTGTGCGTGTGTGCGAGTGTGTGTGTTGTACAGTTGAATCTGATTGGCTGATAATAAACAGGGATTAGAAATTAGTTGGTCACTGGTTCACTCTGAAGTACAGACGTGTGTGTGTGTGTGTGTGTGTGTGTGTGTGTGTGTGATTTGTATATGTTTTCACATTGTGAATGATCTAGAATTGACAGTAGTTTGTCATGATGGAAATACTTCATTGTAAATGTACTGTTATTTTTGTGCATTACTTTTTCTAGTCAGAAAGTAAACAGTCCATGGGATAATAATAATAATTGAAGAGCAGTGAGGAATTCTCTCTTTTGGGTTACCAGATCTGATCTGAAAATTCTTATTGTTAACTAAATCTAGAACCATATTTACATGTATACATATACTGCTTGAAATAAACTAAACTCTAACTGAAATAAATAAAATGTTTTTTTTTTCATTTAGTTTAACTTAAAATAACTTCATTTAAACTTCATTTTCATTTAAAATAACTAAAACTAAAATAATAATTTTAAAAAACTATTTACATTTTTTTTTTAAAGCTAAAACGAATAAAAATCTTGAATACATACAGCAAAATTACAAAAATTTTAACTGAAATTAAAGTGAAATCAGAAAATATAAAATCTATTTCAAAATATTAATAAAAACAGTAGTATCTCAGTGATACTAAAATAACAGTGGTGTGAACCATCAGATTTAGTGAGTGAGTGAGTGAGTGAGTGTGTGAGTGAGTGAGTGTACAAAATGAACTACAATTAATGCAAATTTCATTCAAAATGACGGGGAATATTTATTCATATTTCATTTATTAATTATTTATATTTATTTGTATTTGCTGATTAATACATGTCAGTCAGTACTGAAAATTTACTGAATGTATTTAAAATTTACTTTACTTACTGTGAACAGTTGTAGTTATGTTAATTATCTTTATTACTTGGCAGAATAGCTCATTATTCCAGTTATCATTGTTAATAAATGTATCTTTTTTGAGTTTAAGTGTGTTTTATCATATTGCTGTAGCTACTGTTTTATAAAAGCAATAAGAGAGACACAATGCGTTGCTGTGATTTTACCACAGTTTTTAGACCCGATAATGGAAAGCCTGAGATATTAAAAATTAAAATTGTGATTTCCAGGCCTTGAAATATCTAATTTTGTTCATCTGTAATATATCACGTTGTCTCTATAAATTATATTTATACAGTAATAATAACAACTTACAAGTCATGATAATTCATTGAGGTGTGTTTGTACAGTCTGCTTAGCCATATTTTGGGAAGTAAACTATTTTTTTATGGTAAAAATGCAGTAGGTTTTCTGTTAGGATGGGTTAGTGTTAGGTTGTAGTATTTATAACTAGCTGTATATAGAAACAGTTGACGTCTATGGAATTAACCCATTTAGAGAGCTGAGTAAATGTGTGTGTGTGTGTGTGATGCGTTTAAAGACAACAGAATAATTGCTTGCACGCAGCTCAACACAAATAACACAAACATATCTGCTGTAATGACGTCTGATGATCTCACACACACACAGATATACACACACACACTCACATACACTCTCACACACACACGCGCTGGTTGCCATGGTGAGCGTGTGTTATCGTGCCGCGTCTCTGCTGGATCTATTCTAACCTGATTTAGTTGCTCCAGCGTTGCAGCAGCGTAATGAAATTAGTGTGTGTCTAATGGTGCAGAGAGGCCCTGTCTCTCTCTCCGTCTGTCTCTCACTCCATAATTCTGTCTTCCCTCAGTCTTTGTCTTTTATTTTTTTAAAGCGCTTGCTCTCGTCCGGTCTGTCTGTCCTCCTCTCATTACCGTCTGTCTGTCTGTCTAGAGTTCATTATTGTCTGTTTTTCTCCGCAGCCATTAGGAGGAAGGAGAACGGCTGGTACGATGAAGAGCATCCCCTCGTCTTCCTCTTCCTGGGCTCGTCTGGAATCGGTAACTTCTGTATTAAGCCTATATTATAAGTCTCTTTGGAAAAAAAGCATCTGCTAAATGCATAAATGTAAATCTTCGCTCCAGATGCACAAGCGCGTTTCTCTTCAAGTAGCCACACAGGAGTTCTGTAAAATCCTACGATCCAAAGTGATTTACAGTCTAATATGATATTCATAGATGTGTTTATTCACCAGATCTGTCATTTATGTGTCATCAGACGTGATGAATATACACACGTTTAGTCGTGGAGTCAGACAGGCCTCCGGCTTGATCTTCTTCCTGCAGTCTTTCTATATGATTATTTACTGCACGTCAGTCGACTTCTTTGTTTCAGTTTTTTTTTTTATGCAAAACACCAAAACACCATAACATGTCGTCTTTCAGACTAGTGGAAAGAAAACATCCTAAATACACATTTAAGTGTTTATTTTATTGCACTTTATCTATTTCCGTCTGTAGATTTCAATTACATACATATTTATACATAAACAGGCTGTTTTCTTGAGTTTGTTCCTCCACTTCTGCAGCACTTACAAACACCAAAACTTAGAGCTTTATTCATATCTATATTCTGAAGGTTTTTACTGAAGGGTTTGTTTATATATCATTCACACTCATTTATACAACATTATATTGCTAAAAACATGGCGAAAATGCATATTTTTAAAGGTTGTGAGTTTTTTTTTTCTCCACTTCAGTAACACATACATACACCAAAACTTAGAGTTTTATTCCTCTCTATATTCTGAAGGTTTTTACTGAGGGGTTTATTCATATATCATTCACCTGGTTTTATTATTGCACTTTATCTATTTGCATATGTAGATTTAATTTGCGATACAATCTTTAAAGGCCGTTTTCTCAAAATGAGTTTTTTCTCCACTTCAGCAGCACTTAAATACACCAAAACTTAGAGTTTTATTCATATCTATATTCTGAAGGTTTTTACTGAAGGGTTTGTTTATATATCATTCACACTCATTTATACAACATTTTATTCCTAAAAACATGGTAAAAATGCATTTTTTCTGTCTATTGACGGTATTTTCTGATTTATGCAGTGATAAAAACAGATATGCAAAATCCCCTCTATAAAAACCTTTAACTCTAATATGTCAGCATAGACAAACTAAATTTTTGCACCTGTTTTTTTCCGGTCTTCAGATCTATTTTCTGGAAATTTGTGCAAATTAGTAATATTTCATTCAATATTGCATCATTTGCATATTTAAACAACATTTCATACAAAACAACTATCTTAATGTACTGTGATTAATAAACTGTGGAAAATATGAAGTCTATTTATCTAACTGTTACCCTGTTTACCTGTGTTGTCTCTGTTTAAGTGAAATGCACTCAAGTTTTGAACATAAGCATAAACACGCAGAGGTGGACAGAGACAATCTGGAGTCGTGAGTGTTTGTTTCTTGTGCTTTGATTGATGAAGAGACGTTTCTTCTATCGCCAGCGGCACGTCTGATCACTCGCCATCAATATTCAACAAGTCCCTCCACTTACCATATATGCGTTTATTAAAATTCATAAGAGCGATATTTACTCTGACTGACTACATTACCCTGAGAGAAGAATGAAGGGAGGGAGACGCCAGCAAAATAAACACAGCATGAAGTGATCTCTCTCGCTGACAGGAAGTAGTCGTCCTGTCTCCACGACGACCGCGACAGAGAGACTTCAGCATCTGATGCTGCGGTCGCGTCATAATGAGTCAAAACTGCTCACGTCTTCGTCAAACTCTGTCTATCATGTGACCGCTGTGATATTTTTAGCATTTCTGGTTTTATTGTTTGATGAAATGAATTGCAAATAAATGTTTGACTGTTGTGTTTGCAGGTAAAACTGAGCTGGCCAAGCAAGTGGCACGATACATGCATAAAGACATTAAGAAGGTCAGTCAGTAAATAAGGGAACGATTCTTCTGAAACGATTGGCTTCTCATGAAGGGCAAATGACAAGATTCTGTCGCTTTTTTATACAGGGTTTCATCCGGATGGACATGTCTGAATTTCAGGAGAAACATGAGGTGACACACACACACACACACACACGTTTTAGCACAGAATTCACAAAGTGTCTCAGTAACTGGAAACAACAAATGCAAGTGTAAAATCACATTGTCCATACTGAATGTGTACGAATCAAACCTCAGTCCTCATGTGTTAGTATTCAGATTGTTTAACCGATCAAACTGTTATTCCATCATGACATCAGTTGATCTGAAAGAGAATTAGAAGACGACAGTAGAAGAATGAAATTTACAGCAGGGATTCCCAATTGTTTTTGTCTGCCAAAATTTGTTTACAGCCAAAAATATTTACAAATATGACATCCCCTGATATAAGTTAATATTTCATTTTTATTTTTAATATTAATAATATTATATTATTAATGTTATTTGTAATATTATGATTTCATGCTTTTTTTAACGATTTGTATTTTGATCAGTTTTATTTTTAAAATGTACAAATTTTACATTTTTGATTTAATTCATTTTTTGTAAAGTGTTGATTTGTTTTTGTTTTATTTGACAGTTTATGATTTATAAATTTTTATGTTTTTATTTAAATATTTATTTATATTGTACATTTGTCTGATTTAATTCATTTTTGCAAGTGTTTTATTTTGATAGTTTTTATTTGACAATTATTTAATTATTTTGACTTTTTTTGTCTTTGTTTTTAAATTATTCATTTTAATTTCACATTTTTATCATTTAATACATTTTTAGTAAGTGATTTATTTTAAAATTTGTAAATTTAATAATAAATAAATTTGTATTTTAATGAACAAGTTTGAGAAAACCTGACCTACACTAATATCTGTTGTGGAGTACCTGCAAATGCATAATGAGCTTGTCGTGTTATAAACTGCATACAGTAATGTTGTGTGAAGCTGAGCTTGTGTTTCTAGAAGTCTGTTTCTCCTTCATAAGCCGTTTAGTCTCGCTGTTACACAGTGACCTTAGACTGAGCCTAAACGCACACAATTCAATCACACACTCTTATTATATTGATAGAGGACTGTCACTCTGCTGGACTGGATGAACAGTGTGTGTGTGTGTGTGTGTGTGTGTGTGTGTGTTTTGCTCTAATCATTGAGTTGATCCCCTCAGAGGTCAGATCTGCTCAGTTCGCATCTTCTTTGTCTTTCATGTCTGTGTTCTGTCTTCCTCTTCTCTCTCAGGTGGCGAAGTTCATCGGTTCTCCTCCAGGATACGTGGGTCATGAAGAAGGTGGTCAGCTGACCAAACAGCTCAAACAGTGTCCGAACGCCATGGTTCTGTTCGACGAGGTGGATAAAGCTCATCCAGACGTGCTGACCATCATGTTACAGCTCTTTGACGAGGTACAGATTCACTCAGAATTATCTGTGAGAAGAGACTGATTTAGTACGATAATATAGTTAGTGTATATATCCAACTTTGTATATAGAGCTGTGTGGTAACAGTTGATTGCTATGATGATAATTATGATTATTATATTATATAGTTTCTAGAATGTTTCCAGATGGTGTTTGTGTGTCTTTGTGTTTCAGGGTCGACTGACTGATGGGAAGGGGAAGACGATCGAGTGTAAAGATGCCATCTTCATCATGACGTCTAATGCAGCTAGTGATGAAATTGCCCAGCATGCATTGCAGCTGAGACAGGAAGCTCAGGAGCAGAGCCGCCGGCGTCTGGCTGAGAATCTGGGTGAGCAATCACACCTGACGTTTAACTTTACTTTTAGAGGGAAGTGGTGTTTGATGACCTGCTTCTGTTCCCACAGACGACGTTCAGAAGAGCGAGAAGATCACCATCTCCAACACATTCAAAGAGCAGGTGATCCGCCCCATCCTGAAGGTAATCCACCATCCTCGTGTGTTTCTCAGCGGAGCTCAGTGATTGGTTGCTGATGTGTCATCGGATGATCTGATTGGTGCTTACAGGCTCATTTCCGACGGGACGAGTTTCTGGGGAGGATCAACGAGATCGTTTACTTTCTTCCGTTCTGTCACTCTGAACTCATTCAGCTGGTCAGCAGAGAGCTCAACTACTGGGCCAAGGGGACATCCCATAGGCGTAATGGTTTTTATACTGTACAAACTGTATGTGCTATCGCCCTACACCAACTCTACACCTACCCCTTACAGAAAACAGTGTATTTTTACTTTCTCAAAAAAACTCATTCTGTATGATTTATAAGCGTTTTGAAAAATTGGGACATGGGGTAATGTCCTTATAAATCACCTTCTCCTTGTAATACCTGTCAT